AACAGAAGTATTACAGTATTCCAAACCCCAAACCAGCTCTCGACTACCTATAAGTCTATAGATGCTGAGCCTATATTTATATACTACAAGCTAACCATGTATAATCAATGAAAATAGTAGAATATGCTAATATTAGCTACTTGGTTAAATATAAAGGTGATTATAGCTATATCTTTAAAGTCTGGATTTCTGAAAACAATCAAGTCTATTAATCCCGAGATATTAAGTTCATTAAATTAAAGATCTATAAAGATAATAAAGATAAGCTAAATCAGGCTACTTTTCCAGAAAATACTCCATAATCTAATCAACCTACAGGAGATAGGATTTACTTTTATTACTTATCTGTATCTTTAAAGTAACAGCAGGTAGTACTTATTCTACTTCCAGTTCTTAATCCGCCTCCACAAGCTCTGATACCCGTCCCAGCTACACCTGTGGATCAAGAATCACTAATACAAGATTGTATTTAAATATTATCTCTTATATCAAGAACACCGGCTGCGCCCTGAGCACCTTGAATTTAATTATATAAAGAAAACTGACTTCCGACAATACAGGAGTGCATGGGATAGATTAAATAATTACTAATAATTCTAGCATGTCCACTAGTTAGACAGCGGGAACCAGAGGCCCGTACATCTCTACCAAATATATTAAATGATTTGATGGATATAGATAGACCTGAATTAATAGATATTAATTATTCTGAACCTGCAATAACTATATCTCTGGATAAGCTATTAGAACCGGCTAGAATACCTGCTCAATCCTACTAGTTTCTAAGACTGCAGGCTCCATGTAAATAAGACCTCTATCTCTAACCAGCACTGCTGAAATTCAACTAACTTTTATATCTGGTACCTGAACCTCTACAGAAATAAGAAAGATAGAACTATTTATTTAGTAAAAATATTACTATTCCTTCAAGCAGAGGCCTAGAGTATTCTAGATGGTGATATACAGTATCTGACTTTCTGCAAACCCCAATACTCTAAGTAACTCTATTAAGAAATATAGAGATTCAAAGCCAAGCTCCTACACTTTCTACAGCAGTTCAAGAACCAGAACCTACTAAATCCCAGGAAACGCGACAACGCGTGTCATCACAAATAATGAAAGGAATCCTATTAAAATAATATAAAGATAATCAGGTATATTTAGTAATAAAGCCAGGATTGTGGGTTACTGATGTTATAATTCCACTATCTTATAAAGCAGCAATAAAGTTACTCTATATAGACCTATGGTGTGAAGCTATGACCACAGAAATTAAAAGCTTGTTAAATATAAAGGTTTATCAGATAGTTCCTCCTTCAACAGATTACTAGAATATTTATATACTTCTAGACAAGTGGGTTTACGCCCTAAAAGAAGACGCTGACGGCTATGTCATACGCTTCAAAGTATAATAGATCATATATGGCAATCACCAGAAACCAGAAGAGGATTTTGATACTATACATGCTCCAGTTATCTCTGAAATATCAGTAAAAATAATACTAACTGTAATAGCTATTCAGAAGCTAGCATAGAAATAAGTTGATATTATAACTGCTTTTTTACATAGTATAATGGATGACTATAAAATCTACATGTACTAGCCCACAGGCTTTAAACAAGATTTTAATTATGTCTGTCTCCTGTAACAGGCCTTATATAGCTTATGACAGGCAGGCCACCTCTGGAATAAGGAACTTGATTAACAATTCTAAAAGATAAGATTTAAATTAATTATAGAGGATCCATGTATCTACCTCCGGGGATCTGCAATTATTATTATCTATATTAATGATTTTATTCTTACTGATCAGACTACTACGGGTATTAATAATATTACTGATAATATATCTCAGTATTTCAAGGTTAAGCGCCTGGAATCTCTAGCACGCTTTCTGGGTAGTATATTAACCAGGAATAAAGAAGCTGGAATAATAACTCTCAGTCAGTATTTATATATAGAGGATCTACTGGTTTCTTATCAAATGGATAAATCTTCATCTCAGTATATGCTTATGAATCTAGGCTATTGGAACCACCGCCCAGAGGACCCAAGCCTTAATCAGGAGAATATTGAATAATATATATAATTACTTGGTTGATTGAACTGGCTAAGTATATAAATATAACCAGATATAATATATGCTGTCTTTTGTCTTCAGTACTAAAGCCATGCATTTTTATTATTTAATATTACAGTGGTAAAGAACCTCCTGTGTTATCTAGTGAATAATCACTTTGATTTAACACTTACCCTTAACCATAAAGTAATATTTGAAGTTTATATTAATACTGCTTTCCAGGACTATGTAGATAGGAAATCTACAGAATTCTATATGATTTTCTACGCGGGCTCCCCGGTATTCTGGAGTAGTAAGAAATAAATAATAGTTATAAGTTCATCAACTCTAGCAGAGTATATTGTATTTGATAAGACTATCAAGGAAGTTCTTTGAATCAAGAAACTGACACAAGTACTTAGTCTTGTTATCTTAAAGGTAATCCCAGTTTTTACTGATTTAGCCAATGTATTGTTACTTATAGAGAACCTGACCTTTGCTCTAAACAACCAATAGATTGATAATCGCTTGCTGTTTGTTCAAGATTGCTATAAAGAAGGTTTACTGAAGATTATATATATAAATAATACAGAGAATCCTGCAGACAGATTAATGAAATCCCTTGATACTACTAGCCATTAGGAATTCTGTCAGATAATCCGCCTTATCAAGCAGGCTTAGTAATAAGATATGTATCATAACTCACTACTTAGATAGTTAAAATAATATCATGATGCCTCAGGATCTCGTGCCCAGGTAGGTATATAAATAATGGTGGTT